ATTTAGCTTAAAGGTAGAAAGCAATAACCAAAACAGATGATTGACAAACTATAGTGAGGCTTACTTAAGCGGTTGCCAGGCCAACAGTATCGATTGCCCCAAAAAAACGAGCGAGGGAAGTAAACTAGATGTATAGGGTTCTACAGATTTGAAAGGCAGAAATAACACTTTTAGACTGAGCCCAGAAAATCATGGATGCATGGATGTATTTATATGTTACTGTGCTGTCCTTATACGCCATTCTGCATTCATGACATCTATGGTGAGAAAATTTCTGCGTTTGTGTCAAATCGCCAGAAACGTAATGAACATAAAGTGGAATAAAACAAAATTCAACGATGATGAAAAAGTATCATTTAGAAAACTAACCGAAGGTTAGATCATCATGTGAAAACAAGTTGAAACGTATAATTTCCTTTTGGATCACAGCACTCCAACAAGGTCTGTCACAGTTTGTTAAATATATGACGGTGAAAATCAAAGCATTTTGCGATTCAGACGAAATAAGACTAAGATATTTCGTTTTGTTTCACATTTTTTCGGATCCAATCGAAGTAGATTTTTTCACTGCAAGCACTCAGCTATGAAAGGTTTGGCTGGTATGCACTTCAGCAATTAAAATCCTGGGACAATTGTGCGTCAATTTTCCTGGCGATTGCGTTCAGTGTAAGTTAATAAATCAAATTTGATGCTGGCGGAAATTATTTGCGCATGAGATATTGATAAAAAAAGATCAATGAAACAAGCTTGTGAATGCTGATATTTCCTATCCAATTACAATTGAGACAAAAGTGGAATTAATATTGCAACTCTGTCACGGAAAACAATACTATCATTTATATCTATATTAAAGTCAACTAGGGAGAAATTTTATTCAATTTATTCGGTAATACGCGATACAATCTATATAATCGTTGTGTCTATGATGGTGACCTAAAATGCTCACATTTTAGATTTCAAGTTTGTTTATCCACGAAGACTCACTACTGACGATGGAGTCATCGACAACGAGGGCTGTTGAATAAAGTCTGACAGTTGACAAGCTTACACCAGAATATACTCACGGCTGTGTCAAAAAATAAAATAACTACATGTAAACGGACTTCAAATGATAACACTCGATCTCACTTTGCACATCATCCCATTTGCTGAAATTAGTGAAAACATCCATATAGGATTTCACATGAAACAGTAATTGCGAAATTGGACTACTAGTTGGGGATATGAAACAGTTGCAAATATTTTTACACAAAACACCTTACTCAAAGTCAATATCGAAATTTATAGGTAAATAGATGGGGGAGTATCGGGTGCTTCTTGACTANTCAAATAAAAACCGACTGTTTCACATTCTACCACCGAAAGGTAGATGAGATTTTCATTACAGTGATAACAGTGCAAATCTCCTGAACTTCATGAAAGTGTTTACATCAGTACACCCAAATAACTAGTCAACTCTGAGAAGAGATGAAAATAGAAAGGATAGTGTTTCTGGATATACAACCAGGCCATTGGTTAGAAGAAAAAATCTTCAGTGAATCGTGTGCTCATCGGGGTGTTTGTCGCAACATATTTGCAACATTGTAACAAAAGGGAAGTCTATTTTAGGGCAAGTCACTAAGATGCGTTAAAAGAACACAAGATGTCATTGAGGGTGAACTGATATTCATTGAAGAAAGGTTCCTTCATCTAGCCACAACTACTTATGGACCACATTTTGAGATATTCTCCTTTGCCAAAGTCGGTTACTACTTTTAGAAAACTGTTTCTCACAAATTCCACAACTATTAAACTGGCTACAGCTGTGGAAAAAACATTATTCTTAGACAAGCTTCGAACTGCGGTTTGTCTAGACCATGACCTTAGTTTTCTAGCTCCAACGTAAATTGCCCGTATTTGCGATCTTCCTATGTGTATTCAGTATTCTGTTGCTTGGGGATGGAGTCCTTGAGTATCACTGATTCCACTAATTCCACCACAATTCCATCGCTTTAATAATGGTGTCGAAAGAACTGGTTTATGTGGTTGCGAGATATGAAACCTTGTAGTTGGTTCGCTGCCGTCCATCTAAGGGGATCCTGGTTGTCACGTTTGTATTTCAAACTGTGTAGTCTCGGTCCCGTAGCTCGCTTGCAAAGTAGAGCAACCGTAAGCATTTTAGGATAGTTTATTATAACTCATTCAAAATCAATCGTGCCAAGTGTATGATTAACAAAGCAGCAATGGAACTAACAGTCAATCAGGATCGAGCCCCTGTCGGCCGGCAGTATTGGCATGGACAAGTAGGTGAGGTTGATCCATCTGAATAAACATCAATTGATTACATCTGTGGAAAGAGCAAATTAACGGTGAGCAGGTTGGTCGAACGTACGCATTTAAGCTGCAGGCGCGTATGCAACATTGGTTACAGAGGAAATGACCAGAATCAGTCGAGATATTCTCCAAAGAATTCATAAAAGCACTCGATCTTCCATGGCATCGCCACATTTGACAAAGTTGTTCCTCTATTCTCCTTAATGACCCGAAGCAATGGGTAGGTGCGATGATCAAAATGTGAGCAGCAATCATGGAACTGAAATGCGTTTTCTATCGCTTATTTCGTAATGAATCTTCCCCGACCAAAACATATGATGTAAATATGAACGAATGAATTACTGTAAACCTTAGGTATTCCACGGGCACTGACTGTCCATGATCACAACTTACTGATTTGCATGGTGGCGAAATTAAATAAACCATTGCCTACAGGATTATTCCGTTTAGTATAATGCATGGACTATCTTGATAATGTATTCCCGAATAACAACCGTACTCTGATAGTGTCGTTTGCACAGATAATAGTTCAATAGTTGGTGCAATGGAACGCTGACCAAAGCTTGAATCAAGTGATTTATTGAACGGAAGACGTAAACATTCATAAAAGAAAACATAACGTTTAACCAATGCATGTGCACGACGACTGATTTATTGGTTCGATATGAATGGGTCTGATTGGTTTTGGCTTGAGGCTATTCGTGGGCATTGGGTTATCTTTGGTTTGACTGGATGTTCCGTAACAGTGCAGGATTTATGGAAGCGATTGACTCCGTCTCACAATCTGCTTGATGCTGTTGTTTCGCCATTTGTTCGATACAATCTTGCCCTTATTTGGCCACTTGTTGGGCCATGATTAACTCGTACTCCATGTGAAATATCGCATTCGATTTCATCCTTGACATAACGCTTTGAAGCAATTAGTTCGGTGGTAAACAGCTTCCTTACCAATAGGTTTAATACTGTCTCTCCAGATTTAGGCTTTAGATTGCCGGTTCCCACTGAGGAATGGCAAGTTATGGTGGCTATTGAGTGCATTACTTGACTGGTCGTTTAATATTGGCTTGCTCTAAGAAACGGTAATTTAGGTGGTAATTCTAAGGAACCTGGCCTTCAGTTAGATAATCGCAAATATTGCGTATCTACAGTCAAACCCTCGTAACAACGGGTCATTCAATTGCGGTGATGAACATCTGCATCCTTTACAACTTGAGTATGAGAGGTTTTGAATCCCGAACGAACATGCTTTTATCCGATGCGAACAATCTATTATACACCGTTCTTCTGATTTATGATCACTAATGAACACATCGGATAACGCAACCTAGTGTCTAGTTGGGTGAATCTTCGGTGAGGCCGTGAGTCATGCCTCAGCACCCACCGCAATGTCACCTGCTGGTTCAATTCCGTTTGACCAATGTTACCGGTCAGTAAGAGATTATGAACACTGGTCTAACGAATTGCATGAATTATTGCAAGCAGCAAGATAATATTTGCAACGTGACGACCAAGCGCAGCGCACACACGGGAGACAGAGTGACTCATTGGTTCGGAACGCCCAAAAAAAGAACAGGTGAGAGCGCATTTCCGTGTCAGGAAAAATGAACTTCAATCAAACTGGTTTGTTTATTTATCCTTTTATCTGGTGCTTTCAAAATCCCCCATTAAGTTATTTATTTATGTCTGTGGAATAACCCATTTTATTTCAAAGGCACAATGTACGACTTTATTTAGGGTGGAAGTTTCGCTCCTAAGAAGATTGTTTACCCTCCTTACGCACAGGTTCGATGCATTCTAAGTGTGACGATATTAGCACATCGCCAACTGTGGTCTAAGCAACTGTTTCGTTCTTGATGGGGTCCGTCAGCAGCGGAGTGTACTAGTTCAGTGTGTCCTGTTTGGTGGTGGAACCGTGTATCTTCGACTGGAAATCCTTGCACGGCCGATTATATATATGTTGAGAGTACCCTCTGTTTGGGTTAGCCCATAGGATTTCAAGGACATGATACGTTGCACATGATATTCTTGTTTTAGGTATAGTTTTAGATAGGTTGAAGACCTTCCGATGGGTGACTACTCATTTCACATTTTCACACAGAAATATTTTCCAAAATGAACATGTAGAACATAAAACATCACTGAAATGACGCACTAAAGACAAGAATTCCTTCACAACAACTAGAACAATCCACATTGGTGAGAAATCTGCTTTTTTCTCTGGTACTTCACTTATTCCAATATAATTGATATGCAAGTTTTCAAGGCATTGGTGAAAGACAAAGTTTTCGACAAAGTGCATGTCTAAGTGGTTCTTCTCTCCCAAAGAAGTGTAGGATTTTATTCATTTCCACCGTAAGCCCAGACCAGTCTCACTGCATATTTCCCTCAGGTCCGAATGATGAAAGACGATGAGCAATCAGTGCAGAAGTCGAGTGTCGTTTATTTTGGCGTCATTTTTTATCATAATGATTGTTTGGGAATATACAGAATCAAAAAGAAATAATCGATTCGGTCAAAGCAAATTTCGATGACAGGTGTTTTGACTGTGCGTGCATTTCGGCAGATCATAACCTATATGAGAAATGAGTAAAACATATGTATATAATATGCATAGGCTTATTTAGTATATATCCAAGATTTCTTCTCTCTCAATATTTACAACAAAATGTGCACACAGGTGATGCACGTCAATTGTGTGCGGAACCAGTTGTCCAGAATGATTTTTTCGGTTTAATATTCGCAATTAGTTGTTCTTTGGCCTTATCCAGGACGGTATCGGAAAAGCGATCTTTGAAGTCGGACAGGATCTCCTGAACTTCCGCATTGCATGGCAAACGGTGGCGACTGGAATAGAAGAATTAGAGGAGGAATTATGGATAGAATTCGCACTGTTTCACAAAGGGCCATGATGTTTCATGATGGATGAAGGTGTTTGGTAGGAGAAGGGTGGGGAGATAGAGAGCACAATTGGGCACACACTATGCTGATTTGGAGACCATCGGCCTCGCGTATGGCAGCAGCAGAAAGTATGAAGAATGCATCAATGGCGGTTCAGTCGTTGTGAGGTGGTATGTACACGAACAAACCGAGCGTGCAATGATTCCAATTTCGGATCTCTATAACTATACATATGTTCCCGGAAAATGAAAGAGGATGATTGTCTGCGATCGTTTAACGAGAAGCAGATGCTACGGTCGAGTTCCTCATCCTGACCTGCTCCTCGCATGAGTCATATCTGAAAGTGCCATTGCTCCTTTCCTTTTTCTTTTATCGAAACCAGTCGTTTTATCGCGTTTAAATATCTGTGGTATCAGTGGAACTGCAAGGCCAGAAATAGTTACATCTGCAAATGAGAGCTGATTCCATTCTATCATGCACGCAGCTCCTTACTGGTGACTCGTGACACATTCCATGCATCATATGATTCGCTGAAGACATTTACCATGGTCTTGCTTGCACCCGTTTATCTGTTGCTCTAGTAGCTCATCTATCTCCATGATTGAATCTGTTTTGTAGGTGTATCACCCACCACGCACACGCTCATCACCAGATTTAAAGTGAGGCAAATAAACTTGACTGATCCAATTGACTTACATGTACATACACACCGACACCAGCCACTATAGTTACAAACACAAACACCTAGACTTGCCCATATCCGCACACATGTACGCATGCACCCAAGCACATGCGCAAGTCTGACCCGAACACCAGACCTCTTTAATTCAGTCAGGATCGTGACACCACTGACCTCTTGACCCAAAACCCATAACATTGGATAGGCAGCGCTTGACCAAAATCCCTGTGTTCATTTTAAGAAAAACACACAATAGCCAACAAGCTCGTTTGCGGTGATAAATTGCCTGTTAATGCAGTCTCCTTCTGTCTGTACCTGTCCACCTGTTACTGTGGGACAAGTTATATTGGCCGCTCGAGCAAACTTTCATCTGAACGAGCCCGCGAGAACCACCCTGAATAGTGGAGTAATTAGGACCATCAACAGTTCAATCGTTTCACACCTAGTGGAGTCAAACCACGTGGGTGATGTGGCCCAGGCGTTTCGACCCATTTACTAAGTTCGCATCCGTCGATCTAAGGGGATTAGGAGTCGCATTCTGGCCACAGTGGAAGCAATCGGAATCCGCCTACATGCTTCGAAAAACAATTCGTAAGAACGCTCGGTCTTCCATGACCAGCACACAGGACACAGTCATCCCTCCCCACCTGCATCTAATGACTCAAACCAATACGTATGTGTGATGACAAAAGTGTGTGAGCAACATCCGGTCATGGAGCTGGAACGTTGATTATTTCTCTTCTAAATTTGTCACGTTTTCTACCCCCTACTAATGTTTTTGATATAAATTATGATGTATAAGACTTTAGATGAATCACCGCGAACGAACTTGTTCGCTACAATGTGTAATGATGGTTTATTCGGACCTTGTGTGCATGAGTTTTGTCAGGGTAAAAATTCATCCCATTGAATACAATAGAATGAGGTGTATACGGGTTGTTTTCAGTGATTTCCCATACATTACTGGTTAGAGAACTTAAATAAACGGGGTGAATACAGCTTACAACGATTTGTGAAGTTGCTTTTGCTCCCATAACCGTTTTACCAACCTGATTAAACGTGTCCATGCAAATCGAGAATAGAAAATTTTATCTAATTTTCGTGTTTATTTCACTTATTGTATGCAATTGCCAATTGACTCCCATTCCACATTGAGCTGAAAGATCAAGTAGAAAACTAGATAGTATGCCTGCGTTCTTTCTCTGAGGTCCCGGGCTCGATCATCGGCTGAGGTGATGGCTTTGTACTGCTGATGAGAACCAACCGAGTAGAAACAGCTGTAAGGTTTCTAACCGCAGCATAACATTTTTGAACAGAAAGACGTCGGATCACGAGGATTGTGCTGATATCAATCAGCAATAGGATAGAATCGTGGTTTTGTGAATCTGACTTTCGATACACTTAATTGTATTTTCATTTGAGTTATAAAAGTCAAACTTCCAAGTAGTTGATGAGAATCAAAGGAAGGCATGGTGAATCAAACTCTTATTAGTTGAGATACATACGTCCAAAGTGTCGTGGAGGACTCAAATCGCAAAGTTTCGAACAAGTGTATTGTACTAACCCGTACTGAGTCTACTTAACGAATTTTTATTTAACCCTCGAATAACTTCTTTCAGCCAAAACTGAACACTGTCCACTGTCATGATGGAAACAAGTGAAGCAATATATAAAACACAAAGTGCGCGATTCCCGCGTTGCATCTGAGTATAGCTAAAACTGAATTTTGACCCGTTTTCTCTCTTACAGCTGTCACGGCTGTGAAATGAACCAGGGGATGACAGAGAATGTTTTCGTGAAAAGATAGATTGCGCTGTCAGAGAGTGTTTGAGATCGCGAACTTCAACAGAAATAACTGCTTCGCACAACGTAGATGTATTTTTGGAGTGGGAAGCTGCATCAATGAGTTGCCTGCCTCAAAGATACATGCAACGCCATAGAGAAAATGTGATTCATCTCAGTAGACAGTGGTTTGGCGAAAAATCAATCTAATGTTGACTAGTCATATTTGATTGATCATTTGGGATGAGGTGAGTTCATGAACAAAATTACATCGGCGTTCTACGTTGCATAAAGATAAATAGCTTTGGGGTACAGATAGTGATGTCTTTGATCTATAAAACCTGAATTATTCCAAATGACGGCAGATGCCACATTAATTCTCACCGAAATAGGGAGAACGCGTGTCTGTGAAAGCCAGGAAAATTTACTACCATATGGGTGGCATGATAGAAAGGATCAGTGTGCATCGGAAGAAAATTTCCGTCCGGTTTCTGTTTTAGAAACCCAAAAGGTTTGCGTAGGTTTTAATTTCACAAATAAAATTAGTGTTCAGAGTATTTTACCTGGTAAGACAGCCTGACATTACGGTTTAGTGCTAACACGGTTCTTGAAATGAATTATTTTTTTAGATAAAGCATGTTTGCTCAGAACATCGTGCATGGGCAATTTTTAACCTTACGAATTCCCAAGTGTTTGTTCATTGTATTTAAAATCCATTGTTATCCACGACAGCATTCCGCGTCAGTTGACCAAATCGTTTGGGGGATTTGCTTTTGTTTAACATTCCCCGTATTGGATATTTTGATCACATAAGCCCCAGGGACACTGTTTGTGGTAGTTTCCCCACTGCTGCTGAAAAAGAGCAGTTACCAGGTCATGGATTGGGTGGTTGTGTTGATGTTTTTACAGATCACCCACAAATGTCACAACAGCAACAATGAGACATGCGGTTATGGTATAGAACATTTCTAAATAATTGAGGACATGTTCTCTCTGTTGTCATTATTTCCAGACATAAAAACGAAAATGAACAGTAATTCTAGGTGACATTCGCATTATTCATCCCGAAGATATACGCTGTCAATTTTTGATATGCAAATGTGACAGTTTTGGAAAAAAAGCAAATATAGTAGAAACAGAATACAATTTAAAGTTATTACTTCAAAATGAAAGATATCTGACCACTGCACACGAAACGGTCCCACTGGTAATTCTATCTCATTTGGCATCAATAGTACCACTACGGGCAACACCACTACCACCTCACATAGGAACCAACATACGCGGTTTCCGGATTCTCCATGCGTTTGATAAAATAACCCAATATCAGGTAGTGTTTCCAACAACGCCACATATTCACAAACTGCTCTTTCACATTCGTCGGATCCACCATCACTCCGAGGAGCACTTGCGAATTGCCCGATTCGACTCTGTTTAACTGATCCGCTTCGGTCTGTACGACCATGTCTGGTAGAAATTTCGGGTTGCCCGCGTGCAAATGAATAAGCTGTTGAAATATCAGACCCAGATAGGGCAGATAGGGCAGAGAAGCGGCTTCCAGATCTCGCCGATATTCGGTAAACATGGGAGGCTTCATGTAGGAGGAGAATTTGTTTAACAGCTGTGCAAAGGGGACAATGCATGTTTACATTAGCCTCATGTCGGACATAAACGACCTTTGGGTAATGAATAAAAATGGAAAAGTGAAAGTAGAACAACTTTTTCCCAAACGAAAACACATGGCGTTGAAATCGAAGGGCCATTTCAACTGCTTCAGTTAATCCTGGAGCCGGAAAACAAAAGTAAAACTGATGCAACCCATGTCCGACGGGTGTGAATTCTACCGTGGGTTAACGAGAATAAACAGTGAACACAAACTTCGGGAGTCTTCTCGAAGCAACTGGTGGACGTATTTCTCATCCCATTCATTATTTTATACATTTTTCTTGTCTGATTTTCACTAGACCAAATGGACGATGAAATTACTAAAGTAGTGCTCTTCGTTTGGAAGATTAATAATAATCTTCGCATTCTTTAAAAACTACGAAGATTGAAAATTCGTATGGTTATGTTTTCACAATTTATCATATGGATTCAATATTGTTTTGTAATTTCACCCAAAGGCAACAGAGTCATCTTTCACAGAAAATCAAACAACAACGGAATAAGTCATCATGGATTCAGCTGAACCCTAAAACGCACCATGTAACCCGTTTCTTTGATCCCCCT